ACCCAAGGACTCTGCCCGGTTTTCATAGAAAGCTGGGTCATAAGTGCACCTTAAGATTGCGCTGCCCAAGTTGCCTTGGTCATCCAAAACCTTCCCCACTCTCACGCTCACATAGGACTCTAAACGAAACTAACCGCTCGCACGAAACCCAATCCGAAGAGAAGAACTGCAGAGAACTGGACCTCATCGGACATCCCGGAAAGCGGAGTTGTGGCCTGGGCTTCGTGAAAAACGGCTAGGGTTAGAAAGGGACGTGCAGGAGATATTGGGATATCTGGCGGTGATAGGGGCGTTATATGGGTCTATATCGCTCTCTCTCTCTCTCTCTCTCTGTAGAAAGAAACGGATAACTGGGTTTAGGAGTTTAGGCGAAGAATCATAATGGTGGTGGTAATCCAGGGAGTGGTACAGACTTCATTCTCTCATTTGGTAGTTTCCACAAATGGGAACCCCAATGTACACCCCCGAACGCAATAATCCTTAGCATCGGGAACCCCAAAACAGGCAGCCCTAACTATATATCCCTAAATTAACCCCCATAATCCCTTTTAACGTACCCCTAATTTTGGCAAACCCTATACATCCTATATAGCCCCAATGATCCCTTTTAACGTACCCGTGATGTTTGGGAAACCCTAAACCCGATACACATGTATAACCCCAATAATCCCTTTAAAACGTATTTCTCATTTTTTGGAAACTCTAGACTCTAAACCCTATATGTTGTATCTCTATATAGCCCCTATAATCCCTTCAAAAGGTATCCCTAATTTGGGGAAACTCCATATCCGATTAAACAGGAGGTTCAGGGATGCCAGGTCAGCTGGCGCCAGCGCTGGTGCGATCGAGAGGCAAGGTTTAGGGTTTAGGGTGTGGGTGTAGGGTGTTGGGTGTGGGTTTTGGAGTTTGGGGGTTTGGGGTTTGGGGGGTTTGGGGTTTAGGGTTAGGGGTTTAGGGTTTGGGGTCAGGGCTTTAGGGTTTGGGGTTGGTGGTTTAGGGTTCGGGGTTTAGGGTTTGGGGGTTTAGGGTTTGGGGTTCATGGGACATGTCAAACGCTTGGGTTGCTGTTAAGGAACTTAAGGTAAGTTGCCAGAATATAGGTATATAGTGAATAATAGGGTCTCCTTAGTATAGCAACTTAATTCAAGTTCCTCAACAGCAACCCAAATGCTTCAGTGTACAATCTAACCCCTGCCTCTGACCCAAACCATAACCCGCCTTCATCCAGGAGTCGGCAAGCCGAAACATGAAAATCACTGAAATGCAGTGTTGCAAAATTCTACCGTTGGCCGGGATGATGAGGATGGGCCTTGGGGACTGAAAATGCACCTTAGCCACATGGCATAAAACCAATGCATTGCTCTTACCTTGCATGTGTGGAAACTTGCAAGCCCACATCTGCCAGAAGGAGCGACATCAAGATCCCTGCTTGCAGGGACCGGAGAGTGGCTCCAAACTCCTGGCACTTTGCAGCACCGTCTTGCTTGTGCAGGTCTTTTACAGGCTACACTGCGTCTAGACGGGGCTGTATTCCCGCATGGCAACCCTGCAACTGCCCTAGACCCTGAACCCTAAGCCCTCTAAACCCGAACCCTAAAACCCTACAGCCCCTAAACTCTAAACCCTGCACCCTCGGCCCTAAACCCTATGATCTAAACCCATCAACTACGTGTACTTTGAAAAGGCCAGCCTCCTCCGTCGCTTCACACATATTGGCAATGACCGTCGGCCTGCGGTGATATAGGGTTTAGGGCTTAGGGTCTTCAACCGCGCGAGCAGGGTGCAATCCATACTCAACTCAAAGGCTTCTGCTCACCACTGTCTCTTGCGCTCAATCCTCAAGGTCTAAGGTCAGAAGTAAACTGTTGAAATAAGAGGATAATACTGTAGAAGCCCGTCAGCAGCAACCGCAGCAGGAGGAGGACCAGGGGCAGGAGCAGTTGTGGCAAAGTAGTAATAGTTATAGTAATAGTACCAGTAATAGCACTAGTAAAAGAACTAGAAATAGTAAAAGAACTAGAAATGGTAATAGTAGCTGGGTGCCAGGCGAGAGCGTCTGCTCCTCCAGTGCTTCGGCCAAGCTGACGCAAATGGATCCTCCTTTGCCTGGCACGTTTGCACACATCAGAGCATCCAGGGGAGCCTGGGGGATGCAAGGAATTGCAGTTTCTGCGCGAAGTTCCTTTGGCACTAACGCTCTTGCTTTGATCACTTGATTTCCCTGCTTCAGGCGCGCTGGAAAGAATGGCCGTCCACCACTTTTGCCAGAAACATGCTAAATCTGATCGCATCACTTTATAAAGCCCAATTCCCCAGCTGAGCAGAATCAGGAGCCTTGAAGGACCTGAAATTCTGGGCTGCCCGCCTTGCCCCCAGCAAAGTGCAGACCACTTGCAACGTTTCCAGAACACCTGTGTTCATTGTTGGCTTGGGACATGCAGTACGAGACTCCAGTACAAAACTCGAAGGCCTATATGGTATGTTGTGCAAATTGTGGTCCACTACAAACTGCTGCCCTCAAGGTTTGCGGTATCCAAACAGGGACCAGAGTTTTGATAACTCTCCAAATAGACAACGGCGTGCAGTATCAAACAGGTGAGGCCTTTTACGTAAACTTTCTCCCCCCAGCTCTTCATTCCAGTCCATTCCACTTGCCACGAAAAGGGTCCTAAAAAGACTATTGTCCTTTTGCAACATGGTAGTTTCCCAAAATAGGGGGACCCCACTATACACGCCAACATAGTACATTCTTACGGGGACTGCGAAAAGGTACCCCTAATTTGGGAAACAACCCCTTTTGTAACCCCAATATAACCCCTATAATCCATTCAAATGGTTCCCCTAATTTTGGGAACCCACCACATGGCTCCATAATAACTAAATACCATAATATGCCATAATGTACGATCATATCCCATAATATACTCCAATATATTATTATATACCATAAGATACCATAATATACGATCAAAAACTATAAGATACTATAACATACCATGCTAGTTTGCGAGAGGCTGCCTCTGGCTCCACAATTAAGTCCCGGGCTGCCCCTTTTTTAAAGAAGTAGATGTCTCCCATAATTAGGGTACCTTTTAAAAGGATTATGGGGGTATCAAAGCGGTTTTAAAGGGGTTATGTAGGATGTATAGGGTTTAGTGTTTCGCATAATTAGGCGTACCACTTTGGTGTCCCCATAATGAATATTATAGGGGGGTCCCCTTTCTGGGGGAAACTATAAAGTAGAGCGTGTACTTGCCATTCATAAAGCGGCTGCAACCTCCTTCTGCAAGCTTAGTAACTCCTCATAGTAAGAAATAATTTCCGTAGAAATGATTCCAAATGCTCCGCCCCAGAGGAATTTTCAAAAACAGATGCAATCTCAGCGAAAGGCCCTCCTGAAAAGATCTTACCCGCAACGCTGAAGCTCTGAAGCCTGGCTCAGGGGGAGTCGTTCTTGTAATAATCCCTATAGGATCCTATGTAACACAAGCTCAGCCCAGTACAACATTGGCACAGCCGCTCTCCCCAACCTGAGTTGCTCAGGTTAGGGACAGTATTCGGCTGGGCAGGCTACGGAAGCTCGTGTGAGGGGGGCATCCGACTGTGTACAGCCACTCCAAATTAAATCAGGCTCGTCTAAGGCTAACTTGGGATTGCTTAGCGTTTCAAAGATGCCGTGCGTCTCAGATTTAGGAAGCCATCTTTGGGCGCAATGGATCCATGCTACTGCTAGCCCACTCAGGTGCAGCAAAAAATCCAACTATCATACTCTGACATGACAGCTACAGTACGGTCTTATGTGCTTGGCTAATGGACCTGGGATGGGGTCCTCCTGTGTTTTTCACGTATGGTGTTGGGGACATGTGCTAACAAAGAGACATACACTTCACAACTCTTCTCAATGCTCACACCCCTTCTTGCTGTGCTTTGGCACCGGCTAGAGGATCCATGATACTATGGCAAAGCCATGTCGTTCTTGCTCAGCTTTTGAACGCTTTCCCAAAGAAGCAAGAACACCAGCTACAGCACATGTCCAATCCCCATATGAACTAGAACCTGGCTGATTTCAAGGCGGTTTCATATAGGAGTGCTGAAGTCATGCAATACCTGTACATGCCTGCATGGACTGGGAAGCGCTTAAAAGGAACCCCCAACAATACCTCGAACTCCTTGCGCATCCCTAGAATCACAAGGTGCGCTCCTACTTGGCAGCAGTGGTCCCTAGAATTATGATGCTAGAGTATGGGGTCCCCCAGATTGTTGTCTCCCAACCCTAAGACCCCTGGGCCTATAGGGTCTATGCAGTCACAGCCCTGAGGCCAAAGACGGGCGCTGCACACCATTCATAGTCCTGCACTTTTAGGCTTTCCGTATATTTTTTTCGGAACGAAGGAGACTCTTTGAACAACTCTGTAGAGCTTGTGGCGATGGACTTCAACATGCCTATGCAGGAATCACGGGAGGCATTTACCCCTCCAAAAGGTCTGCCAGTCACTACTGATTCATGGCTGAAAACATCCCGAAAGCGTGAGCCATCCTCTTGGCAACACCGTAAGCTTTGCTAGGAGACTTCGCGATTTGCGGTACTGGAGTTTCCAGCACCTCCAGCATGTAGGGTTCTTGGCTTAGGGTTTGGGTTTTTTGGGGCAAGGTATAGGGTTCAGCATTCAAGGAGTAAGGTGTCGGGTTGGGGTTTAGGGTGCAGTCCACTTTACCCTCAACCCAAAAAAACCCTCAGCCCCTGAAGCTCTTGCGATCCTGTAGCCCTTGAAGCCCCAATCCCTAAATCCCGCATGAGCAAAAGTCTAAACTACTAGTATCCCCCATCATGAGCCCTAGACTACTCCCCACCATAACCACCTTTCAGTTTAGACCCTAAAGTTTAGACCCTAACCCTTAAAACCTAAATCCTAAACCCTAAATCTTAAACCCAAAACCTCAAAACCCTATACAACCCCCTTTAAGGAGTGCAGACTATAGCTCACCTACCCAACACGGGCCTGGCTTTCCAACCTGGGCACTAGAGCAGCCAACCTTGGTGGCCGGAAGGTTTGGATGGTTTAGGGCCTAGAGTTTAGGATCATTGGGGATATAGTGGCATAATGGAAAAGAAAATGGAAACTACTATTTAGGGTTTAGGATTTAGGGTTTAAAGTCTAGGGTTAAGGGTTTAGCATCTAGGGTTTAGGGTCTAGGGTTTATAGGGCTTAGGGTCAAGGACTTGGGTTTTAGAGTTTGTGGCCTATATAGAGCTTGGGCTAAAGAGGGGTTCTGGGCTTAGCCTTTCGGGTACCACGGTTTTGGGGCTTAGGGTTTGGATATGGGGCTCGGATATAGAATACAGTACGGCGCTTTTGGGTTGAATGTAAGGATAGCCTCTTCCCCCACTAATAAGCCCCCATATTCTCTGGCCATGTAGCGCACCTAAACGGAAGTTTCTCAAAATAAGTGGCCCGAATATCGACCCCCAAATGCTTTAGCGGCCCCCCAAAAAGACATCCCTAATTTTGTGAAACCACCATATTGGGACTATTCATTTTTCAGGTAGTGGGAGGGTGGGGAGGTGACACGAGTAGGTGTAGCTCGGAATCCTGCATGGATTCCAACATTGGAACGCATCATGAAGCAGTGGAGGTGCGATTTAGGAAGAAATGTGTGGTCCATGGTAGGTAAAGCATGAAACACTACATGCTTCAGGGGTTCTCAAGTAATCCACGCAAGTAGCCTGTAGCTTTCAAGGACTTTAAGAGACAGCCTTATCATCATGACTTTCAACAAGGTTTGGGGTCTTGGGTGTACGGATTATGATTGATTAGGGTTCAGCATTTATGGGTTCGGGAATTCAGGGCTGGGGGTTTTCATGTTTGTAGTGGGGTTTATTACAAACTTCAAAATTGCATCCGAGTGTTGGCAGCGGTCCCATACAAACTGCGGGCTGAGCTTTGAGATGAGCTAGGTACGTGTATTACAAAACACCACAGTGTAACCTGTAAAAGCACCTACAGGGGGATATAGGTTATAACCTGGGGGTCTGCTACTAAGGCGATGAGAGGTGGGGTCAGCTATGCGCGGACTGCAGCCTGGAAGGACATGACGCTTTCAAGAGTATGTTATTAGGAAAGAGCGGAAGACGCCGGTGCGACTTGCCGTGGCATTACATCGGAGGTCATTCATCCAGATTATGCGTCGGATGTTAGTGAAGCGTCGGGTGACAAATGACCTTCCTTTTGCAGCTCTAGATGGGGACATCCATTCAAGATCCTGCTTGCTCTCGTGCTGCCTGGCCAGGGAACGCTACCTCGGGCAAATGAATGGAGCAAGTCAAGTAATCTTGCCAAGGAGCATCGTGCCTTCTGACAATGTAGGTCTTCCTTGCGACGCCTGAGCTGCTGCATGGGCTATACATCAGCAATGTCACCAGGGCAGGCGGGAAGTACTTAATCATCATGTGCCCAAGCCTAACCAAATAAGTGCTACACAACTTTCAAGCTTCACAGATATTGAACCTTTGGACCTTTCGGGCGCAGGCTGTCGGCAAAGATTAAAGCGCAGGGATTCGCTGAGGAGCGGTCCACCATCTTTTGACCCGCTGCTTCACCTGCACCGCCAGTCACAAGCGCTCAAGCTTCTTGTATAGAGCTTTCCCTGCACCAACCTGACATGGAAGCCCAAAAGACTTGCTTCCACGACTACGGTCCGATTGTGGAAGGTGTATGAGGATGCCGGATGCCACAAGCTTTTCACATCCCTTCTGCATGTTGGGTAGGGACTTCCACCTCACCAGCTGCACGGGCATACGTTTACTGAACTAGGAAGTTCAGTAAACTTCGAACACTTGTACATTGTAGAGAGCTAGTCCACATTAGCCAGGAATTTGGAAGGCAAACGCGTCAAAACACACAACATGCTCCGGTGCTGTTCCGGCAACAAGTTCCAAGAGTATGGTTAAAGGAGTGTACGGTGCACATTCTGTACTTTCAAATTCCGGAAGGCAGCAGCCTCGAAAGAAGTTGCGGGTGTACAGTGATACATTAACATGGTTTCAAAATGGGGATTTCCACCGCTTCGCATTAGGGCAGGTGTGCAAACAATGGCCCTCTCGCAGGCAGGAACCCTCTGAGTTGTGGCATGAGTTCGGGGCATGTATGGGGACATTCAACTTGGGACATACGCTACAGAAGGTTGCAATCTAACACCCTGAGCCTGTGCCCTGACAAAATTCTGCTTTTGCCACAGGTGCGGTGATGTCCGCCTGGAGAGCAGTTCAGACAATTGTGCCAGTTCTTCCTATCTGTTTCGGCGCTATAGGAGGACGTGTCATTCCGATAACACTACCAGATAGTAACTACCACGGGCTTTGCTGTTGGTAAGAGATCAATGCATGCGCCACACAGGAGTCGACTGCTAGCCGTCTCCCATTATACGCATACACTACAACGACATGCACACAGGCTGGACTTACTTCTACAAGAACCCAGTACTCTGTCAACGGAGAGAATGCAGCATTTGGCTGCTTGTAGTGTCCAATAACAACAACTTCTACAGCTAACCAAGTCCTTAGAGGTGCCTCGGGAGCAATGGAGTTGTTGTATGACAGGTTGGCAGGCGGGGGCAAGGTAGGATGCAGAGGCGCAACTTAAACGCAGATTTCAAGTGGCAGTTTTTGCCCGATGCTAGGATTGACATTTTATGCAAATTACTTCAAAGCGCGTTTAACAGTTGCTTCTTGCAATGCAACTCAACATTGAACATGCTAATGTACAGCACGTGCAAGTTGTGTGCCCGAGGACACCGAACTTTGCATACGAGCCTCACAATCAATCGTCTCAAAACTTCTGGTGTGGGGTTTCGGGTGTTGGGTTTGGATGCGTCGTAGGAGCGCTGGCCAACGCAAAAAAGAACGCACTCTGGACTCTCTATGTTCCGCGTAGCCCGTCGTTCTCTAGACCCTGAAAACCTCAAAATCAAGGACTGTAACTTCTTCATGGCAGATATGGTCCCTCCTAACACTGCTGAGAACAATGCTATAGGGAAGTGTTTAGAGAACGACCAATATCATTTTCAGCCCTTTTTGAGAAACCTTACAAAAGTCGCATGAGGAACCTGGAAACATGATATTGATAACTATACCTATATCAACCACCATATAAACCCAGTTTCCATGCCATTGTCAATTTTCAGTTTTGACTCTCCATCATTACTACATACTCCTTATACCCCCACATATCCATATATATATATATATCATATTGGTCAGCCTCAACCCTGAACTCCTAAACCCCAAAACCCTAAACCCTAAGTGCCCGGAGCCTGGACTTGCTGCAGGCAGAGGATCTCTGGCTCATACCTTGCCAACCAAGTGCTCTGAAGCGCAGTCCAACTGTATAGGCTTATTTGTGGGTTCCTTACGGGTAGCAGTATACAGGGATTATGTAGGGGTTGTAGGGTTATGCAAGATTCTATATATAGGTTCTACAGGGATTATGTAGGTTTATAGGGTTATGCAAGGTTCTGTATAGAGGTTATACAGGGATTATACAGGGATTATGTAACTATGTAGGGATTAGTAAAGGTAAGGGCCCGGGGCTTGGCATTCGACTTCTACAGCAGCCGTTCAGGGACGCCTTAACACCCAAAGTAAACTCGGAGCTAAGCTGATTAGGGTAGATGTCCAGGAATCCCCAAAACCTTAAACCCTAAACTTCAAATAGGACAGAAGGCTCCTTGAAGGCTGTTTTCTGGTAATCCGGGGGTTCCTTACAGGGTCTGTCCTATCTGAAAAGCCCTGGAGATCAATCTGAAACATGGCAGAAAGGAGCAGAGCGCGTGGGTGTTACCAAAAGCTTGGGTACCGCAGTGCCCTGGGCAAGGAATGGATTTACCATGGGACACTTGTGTCCGGTATGCTTACCCTTCGCAACATAGGCCTTTTTTGTATGCCTGGTTTGTGACGTGAAAACCTGGACACATCTGAGGAGCAAGGAAAGCACCAAGATTCAAGGCTGTCGAGCTTTAGAAACTTCATCATGTGGACGTTTGAGGGAGGCTCAGCAGCTAGCCACTGAAGGGGGATGCCATACACCTTTAGACTGTAGATCATGCCCGTTCAACATGATCTTGATGCGGTTTTGAAGCGCAGTTGCTAGCACGCTGAGCGAGTTTTTTACAACTGTACCGGAAGCCTCAACCCTACCTTCTCCACCTGTGCTTCAAACCGATCTCAAAGCGATTTAGCCTGCACATCCTAAACGCTCTTCACTGAAACCTGGTTTTGTTTACGAACCCTGCTCGGGGCACGTAAGCAGCTGCCGCAACACACGGTTGTGCCACCTGTGTCATGCCATTACTCTCAATCTTCGCGCCTAGAATTTGGTGGAGTTTAGGTCTAGTCTGTGACGAGGCACGCATTTCTGCGAGGGGGGTGGTGGTGAATGGTGATGACTTGCCCGCTTATCTGCTGCAGCAACGGACATCCTGCTGCAGTTCACAGGTGCTGTTTAAAAGGGCTTGATGTTGAACAACTCTCATGTGCCTATTGTTCACTTTCTCAGTCCGTGCTGCAAAGACTCTGGACCTGGTCTCGCAACCTTGGAAAACCCCGTCGCCCCCGTTGCAGGAGCTTTCTGAGGGCATAGCTCCTTTGCTACTCTAGCAACTTTCGGATGCTGCCAGGCGTTGACAGGATTTAAGGCGTTTTAGCTAAGACAATGATCTAGTGCATGGAAGTCATTTATGGCACTGCTTGGCAATCAGCAGGTCACGAGAACATAACACCTCTGAGCCATCGCATACCGCTGATTTTGTCAATGAGGCCTATACATTAGGTGGACTCCCCACCCTGCAATGGCGGTATACTAGGAATATAAGAGGACCCCAGTATAATAACCTGTATTCCATATACTCACTATTGCTGAGTGGGGGCGGGGCGGTCCTTCTTAACCTATGCAGCTCTTGTATGATAGGCAGAAGGATGTTTCTCGAAGGTGTCTTGAGGCTTGGCTTCAGAACTCCTCAATCTCAATGACTTACTGGGGGTTAGTAGGGAATATGGATATATATTTTATAGGTGCTAGATAGGGAGTATATTCCCATATTCCCTACTAAGAACCAGGGAGATGAGCTAAGGCTGGAGCCCCAACATCCTGCTCCTGTGCTGAACCCTCGACTCAAGACATCCCAACATACCCCAACCACGACTCATAGCCACAGCTTTAATCTGAATGCACAACACCCTTCATGGCCCCTTAAACCCTACACGTAGTACTCCTTACCCAGACCCTTTAAGCCCTAACTGGAACAGCCCCAAATCCTACAACCTGAGCCCTTGTCCACAAGCCTCAGTCAAAACCTCCAAAGGCACCTCCTCCGCGCCAGTCGTGGCGCTCTCTCGGCCTCATCACCCATGAGGTCCGCCAGATGCACGTCCAAGGACTACGCCGAGGATCGGTTTCAGCTTTGGGCTTCGGGCTTGAGGCTTGGGTGTGTGGATTAGCGTTCAGCATGTAGGGTATTCACAGAAACCTGTTGGAGGCAAGCTGATGTTTAGCATGGCCTTTAAGGGAATGTGAGGCTCAGTGGCCTTCCACATCTTTGTCTACAAGCTTAACTTCTAGACTTCTGGCCTTAAGGATCTAATGGTGCGGGTCCAGGCTTTGGTAGTTGAGGTTTGGGGCGCGGAGGCAGGGAAGAATGATGAGTATTGGGATAAGTCGTCCAAATCTTGTGAATGCTCATAATATCTTTGCACTGTCGTAATTGGCATGCAGGTCATAAGACGAAGAGGATGATGAAGACGACGAGGCTCATGACCGTCATGACACCATGCAATCTTCTCAATGCCAGCTCCGCACTGGCCGTGCGGAATGCTATGCTTGAAAGGTTTTTTAATTGCTAAACTTGGAAATTATGGTCCAGAGTAGAGTCTGGTAGTAAGGTTTCTTTGCAGAGCTGTGTACAAGGACTGTGGCAGAAGCTACGTTCCAGGAGAACGCTGCTCAAAATCAGTGCCTTCTTTTATCTTTACAAATCTAGCTCTCCAATTTCAATGTAAACCTTCAATGAGCGGACCAGCAACTTGAGCAATCATCCTCTTCACGCATTCTACGACATATTCCACGAGCACGTGGGATCTGAACAACAACGCCACGAAAAAACTGTGAAGCAGCAGTCCTCGCTACGTGTGGCAGCAGAAAGTGCTGCATAGACGTTTAATGTATCCAGTACTTCCCATCCTCTGGAAAAGAAACTGGAAGCTACCCTCGTATGAAGTAGTATAGTCTTCACATTCTTCTACCAAAATATGGCAACCAGGATATTCTAAAACTCCTCACGACAAGACCGGAGGTTTTGATAGCCCTCATTATTTTGTAGACAGACTAAAGTCTACATTATCCATCAACGACACTACCTGGCCTCTGGACAGTGCAGATTACAGGAGAGAACTGTGGTGCCCCCCGAGGGTGTCGGTGGCATGTCCTGACACATTGTGGGCGCTATGGGGGTCCCACCTATACCCCGGTATACGGTCATCCTCACTTGAATACTCCCATTTGAATGACATTGCCCGGACAGGCCGAGTTCTGCTTGAGGCGCACGTCTAAGCATAAGCTCCGCCCACCCCCTATGACAGACATGCGCATTTTGAATGTTTTAGCATGTTGCAAGTCTTTAATGCTAGGGGTTTGGGCCACCGCCGCATGTGTTGTTGTTTAGGGAAGGGACTTTGAAGCACACAGAAGTCCTCCCCTTGGAGTGCTACCTAACAAATGCGGAATCCACAGCTTGCTTGCTGAATGACTCGGTACTTTCTCGTTATCCCAGAGGACGTGTCAGACCGATGCAAAATCTCAGTGACCCGGATGAAGCAACGACAGGATATTGAAGATATACTCCAAGCAAAAACAACGCTGCGGGCTGCGAGCCGGAAGTGCGATGTACTCTGATTGGTTGTGGAAGGGCTGTGTAGGATTCTCTCTGAAAATCCTTGACACTTGAGGTTTCTGATATGGGCAAGGTCATTTGAGATCCTGATGGTTGAATGTCCTGGCCTAACCTCGAACCCCAAGCAAAGAATGAGGATCAGAACATCATATACTAGATTTTACTTTCCATTTTCTTTTCCATTATCCCTACATAACCCCAATGTACTATATGGTCGTTTCCATTGTGCTTTCCAGTATCCCCGTGAAACACAAGGAGACTGAGCTAGGTCCATCCAAGGCCATGCCGGCCTTCGTCCATACTGATATTCATAGGGATAATGGAAAATAAAATGGAACTAGTACATAGCATATATTTCCATGGCACCATCACTCAAGGCATATGTAAGGCAAACAAACATTTGAAGTCTGTCCAGCTCAGACCAGATCAGTTCAAGCCGGGAAACTCGACCGCCCAGTGGCTTAGTCCCGCCATAACCCTGGACCCTTGGCACTGCCACGCCTGGTGCAAGGTCAAGAACAAGTCCGCGGCCCAGTCTGGCGCATCTTTTGCCACCACAGGCCGGCGTAGATCTGACAGACAGCAACTATCTGAGTTTAAGGAGGGGATGACGAGTTGATATTGGGATGATACCACCAGTATCTATCAGATCAGGCTTGTCTTTGGCAAGCTTAAGCGCAAGCAGTCAGCAAAAATGGAAACATGTACTTTCGTAACTTTGTTCAGAATTCAGCGCATGTCTGTCCTTTGAACGGAGATCATGACCAACAACCTTTCAAGCATGCCTCTTACCATGTAGTTTGGATTGTCACTGTCCTCCTCACAGACCTGCTAGACGGGTGACAAAACATGATCAAAAGTATGCAAAACGAATGCTCAGTACGGCCTCATCGCGTGCAAGCGTCAGGCAGAGCCTCTAAACTGCATAAAATGCCTCTTGAGGCTACTGAAACTTCGGTGAACACCTTTGGTCCTCAGAAGCTTCCTCCGGCATGGATCTTTCAATTTGTTTGTTTTGCTACATGGTCGAGTTGCTTGGTGGGTCCCTTTTTGGGGGGCTCTGCAGTGGAGACGGCATTTTGGGCGGCTTCTGCGGGATGTTTTGAAAGGTCAGCCGAATTCGATGCACTTTCCCGGAGGTCAACTAATAATCAGGTGGAAAGGTGATAATGGAGGCTGGCTGGGGTGCTATACCAAGAGTTTTGCCTGCGAAGTTCTACCTACGTGCCGAATCACGCACTGTTCTAGCCCCAAAACCGTACACCTTGCCTGGGAGGTAGCGCAGCTTGACCATTGGCTTCTCCGTGTCCAGGGACGACACAAGTTCAAAGTTTTCAGCAGCTTCCTTCACGAAGGGTTTACTTACGGGTGGTTAGCCGGGAATTTGGAAAATAATCTCTATAAGCTATCTTCCTTTATTGCCTACCAACCACCACTAAGTATAGGGGGCTGAGGGTGGAGGACTTCCTGCATAGGACTGGACGATTGAGGGCTGACAAGGACCTGCATTGTCCCTATCTATTTGGAGGGTCTTGTGGGGGTACTTAGTAAGTACGTTAATATATTTTGGATGACAAGGATTACTATTTGGGTTCTAGGGGTTCTGAACCTACTTACTAAGTCCCCCCTGACTCGAACTACCTCAAGCAGCTGCTGTTCTTGAGGCCTTGACTGTGGTAGTAACAAGGACCACAAAATGACCCCCGAACCGACATAGCAACTCTTCACAAGTAGAAGCATGTGGAAATTTATTGTCCCCCTGCGCTTGAGACCAAAGTCTGAAACAATGCTTGCAAAATACCACGCCCCTGTGTGTTCTCCGCTTGATTAAGGTCATTCAGGGACAATCGAGCCAACTAAAGCTTAAGTCAAGCGGGATCTCCCCAAAAATCCACACAAGCCTCTACAACCGACCCCGTGCAGCAATTCCCCGTTACATGGGTTCGTCGTTACTTCCCCTGATCCTGCACCCTAGACCCAAGCAATTTACCCTACAAATGTAGTTTCTGTGCCCAGAGGATCCCTCAACCGGGCTTAGGGGTTTAGGGTATGACGCAGGAGGGAATGGAGCCCTGTTGTAGTAGTAGCCCCCTTCTAGCACATGTAGCCCAATCTCTCACTCCCTACTAAACCCGAAGTCCAAATCTCAAGTCCAAAACCCCCAATCCCATGTACATAGCCCCCTTATGTGTCTATGTATACATATACATATACATACACGAATACACACACATGTACAGTAACACAGACGGCCCCAAACAACTAAATCAAACAATACACCCCAGTCAATACTAGGCTTCAAACTATGATTACAATGCATTCCTTAATCAGGGGGTCTAAACATTAACCCTGAGCCCTACATATCCCCCTGAACCCTATATAGCCCTATATAACTCCTGACTACTCCTACATGAAGCAGTACTGGGATCCCTTTAAACTTGCTTACCTGCAGATTTATGCCTCGCAGAGGACGCTGAGCATGAAGCCCGTCTCTGTGGCATTCATGCCGGCCATATGGGTCTGGGCTGGACTTTGAAAGTTAAGGTTGCAGTAATGCCTAGAGTAATGGTAGTAATTAACAATACAGATACAGGCACCAGTAGTAGCATAGTAAAAGTGATAGTACGTACTCGTAGCAGTGATAGTAAGAGTCATAGTAGTGGTAATGGTAATCGTCATAAGAATTGACATCAGAGTAGTAGCAACAGTCCTCTACAGGCTGGGTTGGGAAGACTCAAGGCAGACTTCAGGGGCCCGATTTTAAACTTTCACGGGCGGGGGCTGAGAGACTGAGGTTAAATGCTGTTGGTTTTGCCCTTTCGGCAAACTGCAGCAGCACTGCCTCCGATAATCTACTATATTCAGGGTAATGGAGAATCAAATGGGAAAGAAAATGGAAAATGAAATGGAAACTGAGGTAATTATGGGTTATATTAGGGTTATATTGGGGTTATATTGGGATTATACTGGGGTTATATAGGGGTTATATAGGGATAATGGAAAAGAAAATGGAAACTACTATATCTAATATATATGTATATATATATATATTGGGGTGTTATATCCCTATGATGAAACATTAGGACTTGTTGTGGCCACTTCGTGAGTGAACACCATCACCTGGCAGAAAGAAGGTATTGCCGGTATTGCTACCCATCCCACTACTCCCAAGTCTTCCTTTGACTGACAATGCGCTAGCCAGATACGTCAAACTGTGGATTCGAGCACCTTGTTGGTTGCTGCTTTCATGAGGACGTGTTTTCGCTTTGCCGACATGAGGCCCAGACGATGAGCACTACCCGTTGCCCTGACCTCTTTTTTGGGGGAAAAGTCAGGGTCTAATCGTGAAACCCCAGCCAGGGTGCCACAGGGTTGCTGTCTTATCCGCCCTTTCCTGTACTGCTCGAAGGAATATCGGCTTGATAGACCGGAAACGTGCCGCTGTGAACCTGGTACCCTGAGCAACATTTTTCCCTGACCTATAGGCCCTG